AACGACAAAAGTAACTGTAAATTTCGTTACCGTTACCCAAAAAATGTAACTCGTTACCGTTACAGTTACCAAAAAAAGAAAGTAACGCAGTTACCAGTAAAGTTACCAAAAAAGTAACTTGTAACTGTAACTTCGTTACAAGTAACGAGTTACTTCCATTCCCTGAAAATAGTTATAGATTTTGATTAGACAACTCGTGAATAATTTTGATACATGTTCAAACTGTCTATCTCCTGATTTGTTTGTAACGTGGAGCGCTATAAGAAGATTTCGTATAATCCTAATTGTTGTTTATCGAATATTAGAAAAGAATAAAATGATACATTATATAGTATAATTATCGGCTAATCGATTTTTATATAAAATGCTTCAAATTTAGACTATATGCTATATTAATATCATTATCGATATATCCCCAAAATTCCAGAAAACATAGCGGTACCGAATTCGAGTTATTAATTTTCAAAGTTGCAGCTTTTAACATGTAAGGTACAGCCCAAGCGTGCGCTCAAGTGACATTTCAATTCATACCGACTGTGATATCTATACGATTATTCTAAAAAAAATAGAATACGATGCAGGACAATGCTAGAAATAACATAAAAAAGAACGGGGATCCGTAGCGGTGCCGTTGTTGAGTTATCGAAGTTCAAAGTGGTGTATCCGACAGCACTTCGAAGCAAAAGTCGCCGCATGGAAGGAGAGCCGCCGCTGAGACGCAGCGGTGGAAAAAAAACAAAAACAGAACAAGAAAAGAAAGGAAAAAGTATTTGCATAGGAAGCGGAATGGGGAGAGAGAGAGAGATGCGCTATGCACCGAAAAGCGAGCGTGTAGTAAACTTTTGGCTACAGTTGTAGCCGATGGACGTCCTTAACTATGTGCGAAACGAAACGCTTCTTCTCTTTTTCCTTTGTTTGAAATGACCACGGTATTGGCTGCGTTCAGCAGAAAAAGCAGCTTTGCAACTGTTGTAAAATTCTTGAATATGATTGGCTTATACATTTAGATCTAATGAGGAAATAAGGGCAAGACCAATCATATTAAAGAATTTTACAACAGTTACAAAGCTGCTTTCTCTGCTGAACGCAGCATTATTTGTAAAAAATATAGCAAATAAAAATAAAATATAAATTATTAAAAATACTAATTTAAATTATCGTACAATATAACTAGTTAAACGATAACTTAACAGCTATTCAGATATATTACAAGTACTTTTGCATGATATCCGATTAATATAAATCAGTGAATTCCGTTACGTTTCTTTAAATGAAATAAAAAATTAATTTAGGAAAAAACATGATTTTATTTAAAAAGGATATTGCATGTCAACATTATTCTTATGTAAGTAAAAAATCCATTTATTGGAAAGAAATTTTTTTTTTTTTTGGTCAATAAAATGTTTTTTCTTTATGTTAATACATTAAAAATGTATTTTTGCTTACATTATTACATAAGTGTACAATACGATCATATATTCATTAATCTTTCATTTGACTAATATACATTACACAAAATGTAAATATATATGTATAATGTACATGTACAGTCTGTTCAACAAGAACGTACGGGCTGTTTCTTTGTAGATCGCCAACCGTATTCGGAATCAAGCAATCGTTGTCTATTAGTATTAAGGCTCACATCTATACCCTTTTTCAATAAAAGATTTTTCGCTCGTCGTAATGAACACCCAGGATTCTTCTCAAATATATTTTGATGATAGCTTTGTCGTCCTTTTTCGTCGTTGACCGTCGAGTGCCACGTTCCGGCAGGTTGTCGACATTTTTTGTTTCGTTTTATAACGTTTCACTCACTTCTTGACGAATCCTTCTGACTTTTTCATGTAGTGCCCGGCAGCTACATACAACATTTTCGGTCCTTTCGGATGTGTGCAAAGAAACACTGCTTCAAAACGACTTGCATACGCAGCACTCATTGTGGTTATTTGCTCTGTTACAGTCAAAACAAGTCACATTATCCATATAACATCAAAGCATTCTTCCGAATTGTTCAGAAAATCGGAAAAACCAAACTTAATATCTGTGCATCATCTATTAATGAAGTACGGAACCGTACGCTTTTATTGAACAGACTGTATGTTCATATAAAATATATTCACAAAGTGTTGTTTTGAAAAATGTGCTTCCTTAAAAATGACTAATGTAAAAAGCATAGCTCTTAAATTCTTGTCTTGTTTTTATATTTGTGTAAATATGTATAATTTTTATATGTATATGTTCGTATACATATATAGCATAAGCTATCGTAATTGCTCTCGTATATATATATAAATTCTTTTATACAAGATTTAAATGCTAAAACCACTTAGATTTCTTTGTTTTATATATACACTAAAAACTGTACATTTTGTAATTGAGATACATGTATCTCGAATATAAATAATATCTTAATTTCTTGAGCAGAAGCGACTATTTAAAGTTGAATACAAATACTGAGCTTTATGTGCGTCAAAATTTATATCGGCAAAAAAGCGAAGCACATTACCAATTCTGGAATAATAAATACAATATTTCTCATTCCCTTGTTACTGCGCAGGTGCAAAATTATATACTGGATATTTTGGTGCAAAATGATTAGCCAGGCCGTAAACATATTCCGATTCCCCACGTTCACGAAGATTTCTGGCGCCATTTGACGATTCCTCGTAAGACGGCGGAGCTGGAAAAAAATTTTTTGAAATTATTTTTACAAAAAAATTATTTCTATAAAAAGCTTTTTTGTTAAAAAGTTAATAATGTAAAAATATCTCGTAAATACAATAGATTGTTTTATCAAAAGAATTCTGTTCTTTAGTTTTTTGTCTTTCATATAGAAAAATAACACTAATTGTTGTGCAAATCTTACGTAAATTTGGATACAGGTGAGACTCCGGTATTGGAGGCAATGCAGTATTTGTCGAAGGTATAACAAAACCAGCTTTTGGTGGCGTCGTTGGATAATCACCGTCCATTCCCGCCGGTGGAGCACTTGGAACATGATAAACAACGAGTGGAACCGTTCCGACGAAGATGAGTGTATTGGCGGTTAAGTTTCGATGATACCTACAAAATATTGCAAATTATAAGATGACTTAAAAGAAACCGAAAAATAAAGAACTCATTAAAATAGATGAACTATTTCATATATATATATATATATACAGTAAATAATTTTGATAATTAAAATAATCTAAATTATTATATAAAAAGTTATTAACCATCCTTCAACGCACGCTTCCACCTTTAGATTATATTCGAGATCGATGATGCCGCAATTAGCGAGATTCGATGGCGGAAGAGGCGGAATGTTCAGATGTTGCTCGTAATCAGTAGTTCCACCGGCTTCGACCGGTCCTTTACTGATTTCCGTTACCACAATTTCTTCCTTTTTAGTGTCTGTGTGTGGTGTAGTAGCACGGAAGGTCACAATCTAAACTTCACGATACGTGTGAAGGTTATTTAATCTTAAGATACTATTTTGAGAAATGTTGGCTTTCAAATGGTTTCAATGAAAAAAAAGTTTAATCGCGAACTGCTATTGCATACCTTACAAAGCACGAGTTTGACAGTGTTCACAACAACATTCGATAAATTCTCGACGTTTATCTTGATTGGCATGGATTGTCCTGGCACATATCCTCGAACCGGTAATGAAAAGTTTATGGTCAAAGGTGGCGTGCCGCAACATAAACAACAAAATGTTTTACTCATTTCTTGCTGCACGGATTCCTAGAAATATAATTTTATCATTATTCGTATTACTGCAATAAAAATACATTTCAATTAATCCCCAATAAATCCACTGTATTACACCATGATGTAAACAATAAAATCCTATGTGCGATAAAATTAAAAATAAGTTACTTGATTTATTTGTGAAATTACTTCCTCATATATCTTCTATAATTTTGATAAATTTTTAATTATTAAAAATAATATAACCATACAATATTAAAAATTTTGCCAAATTTATAGTTTGACAGTATTAAGGTACTTACTAAAGAGATTACCTTACTTTCAAATAATATAATTTCTACATTTGATTTAAATTAAATTAAATTTAAATTTATTTAATGATGAAAGTACATACAGTCGCTCTAGGCTCTCGATTTAAATCCAAAGGAGCGATAACTGTGAAAGGACTTTTAACGTCTTGATCAAACTTCCAAGGCCGATCCAACGTGGCTTTGATGGTATAACGAACGTGTCCAAAGTCCGATTCAAAACTACTCGGTAAGTTTGTTGGTAAGGTACAAGAGAATGGAAATTTGTGTTCTCCTGATTGTATTTCAATTTCTCCACCTAACAAAAAAACATAAGTAGAAAAATAATTAAATAAAATTGCACAAATAGAAAAGTTATAATATACCGTTGTGCATAATAATGAATAATTAAATAAAATGGATGATTCAGATTTAAATCCTGGTTAATAATGTTTTAAATAAAATTCATTCTCTCGTTATATAAACTCATCTTTCATAAAGCATACACATGTGTACATAGTTGATTATAAATGTTACAAACATTTGAATGTAAAATCTTTAAGTAAAAAATTATAATTTTTAAATAAAATTTTTATTAATAAAAAGATAATTTATTCTATAAATAAGTCATAAATAAATTTTTTAATAAATTTTTTTGAAATATTGATATGTAACTATTTATTAATTCATATCTAAGTAAAAATGTCCAGCCCAATAATATATAAAGTATTAACTTTTTTACTAATAGAATAAATTTTCAAAATTACTGTTTAATAGGTTTTATCTTTTAATATCTCACTTATTATTTTTATTTCAATTTTGTATTATTGATGAGTACATAATTTAGCTTTACCTGAGGCCGATCCAACTAAGTAATATTTCGTTTCAAAATATTCTTCATGCGCTGTAACAGTTTGGGTTTCATCTCGATATTCTCCTCTCTCATCCATTTCTTTTTTTTCAGTTGCCCAACAAGTATTTGCTTCACCTTTTATTTTCACACGTATACCTATGTAGAAAAGATTACAAGTATTAGAAATGTACTCAAAAAATACCTTGAAAATAGCAAAATATTAGCTAGCACTTATTCTTATTATTAAAATTTATTATTTCTTCCCATTCCAATTGATTAATTTTTAATCAATTTATTCATTTTTAATAATCTATGTTTTATCTTTTAGTTTTCATTCAAATATAATTATTAAATTATTTCATTGTTTTGTTCAACTTGTTAAAAAGCGTTTTAATTATTTAGAAAAAATAAGAGATCTATATTTATTAAATAAAGTAAAAATTCTTGTTCTTAAAGCTATTTACAATATTTGTAGTATTACATTGTATAACAATATTAAGCTTAAAGGAGACAAAGTATCCAAACAGTAGAAAGACTTTACATAGGGGAGTATGTATATGAGTGTGTGGGTGATAATTCTATAATTAACTCTCGCACATTGTAAGAATAGAAAATGAGCTTGCAAAATACAGTAGCTGCAGAATGTATTTTGTTATACACATGTATCTAATAACTATTAAATAATTATTATACTTTATATCGTTATACATCATTAAAAATTACAAATTTGTTAACGAGTTTCTAAATAAATTTATAAAACAAAGTGATTTCAATGAGACATTTTAAAATATCTTGACATGATATATAATTAGGACATGTTTCAAGGACAGTACAACGATATTTTTTTTAAATATTTGTACGCTTCCAAATTTTTTAAATACTTTAAAAATATTTTTGTACATTATAACGTTTTCAGAGAAGTATATAAGTACATATTTTTTAACTATATTCTGTCCTTTTAATACTCACCGCGAATCTTTTTTGTACTATCCAGGACAACAATGACATTTCCTGTCACTGCCTGTCCAGGATAATACGTATTCCATTGATTGTCAACCGCTATTCGGAAGTCCTTGAGACCCATCGTTTGAACTTTTCCTTAATATACTTCAATTATTTAATTTACGTTTATTATTCACTACATTTACACGCACACACACAATGCAATGTACACATATACAGCTTTTGTTGAACAAAAAGACACTAGTTGATGAATAATGATGAGTGAATTGAGTGCTCTTTATCTCTCTCTCTCTCTCTCTCTCTGTCTTTTCTTCCTGACAAAATAAAATCTCTCTAATCTAACATTTCCACTCGATTCTCACTCGGATACCAGTGCATACGTATAAAAGATACACGAGTAAAATGGAAGTATTATTGCGCACTTCATTCGTTCTCCATTCGGTCTCTTGTTCTATAAGTAATCACGTGGTCACGGAGCTGTAGCTAAAATGAGAGAACAGCACGAAAGGAGCCTTCTGGTCTCGCTTCTGGTTAATCTAGAATCTAGAATTCTAGATCACAAGCATTGACAAACATTTAACACCCCGGCTTTTTTTGTGAGATCACACGTGACTAATGTCAGAGAGAAATCCGAGAGTGGATATCCCTGCCCTGGCCTTTTTTTCGTGTACTAAAACCTCATAGGGTAAAATGTCCACGTTTTTGTGGTCCTCTTCCATACTATTATATGATTTAGACAAGGACGAACCATCAAGTTGATTACTCATCTTTGTCTAATGCCCAATTTCTTCACCTCTAGATAACCTTTATCTAGGAAATATCTTCCAGAATACAAAATGGAAATATCTTCTGAATAAAGCTATCCGTAACTTATCTGCAAGTGAAGAAATTAGCCACGTAACATAGAAGAAAACCACAAAAACGTAAAACATTACCCTACGAGGTTTAATACACAAAAAGGCCAGAATGTCCACTCTCAAGTTTCTCTATGCTAATGTAAAGAGGTTGGCGGTGGGATTAACAAAATAACCATACACTGGAGCACCAACGCTTATTTTATTTAACTGATATGAAATTATATAATTCCATATCGGTTAAAATAAAGAAATATAGATATCATATATACATATATATATACACACACACAGGGTGATTGCTAATGGTTGCACTAACTTTTTACCATAAGAGCATGACTTACATAAGGATCCTTATGTAAGTCATGCTCTTAGTAATCACCCTGTATATATATGATATCTATATTTTGCGACATTCTGCGCTGATAAAATCGTATGTCGGTACAACGTTCATTGATCGTCATCATTGATCGAATAATATTGCACATGCAAGTATAGTTATCGAATGAGTAATAGAAAATATATGTGTTATAATTTTAATTGCTAATAGATAGCAGCACTAGTTACATTTCATATATTATTCACTGTGAGTACTGAGAAAATCTACAGTTTGGCACTACAAATTTATCGACAGTGTTGCAAAATAGACAAATGCATACATAGTACATAGGCCCGTATTAATTCAGAACGCGCTACAACGATGTTAACGCGCTAACATGCTATAGTTTACGTCACGTATACTATAGAATTTCAGAGATAAAAGCGCGCTTTTATCGATAAAAGTGCGTTCTGAATACGGGCCATAAAGTGCGTCCGGGGCCCCTATTCTGTAAGAGCCCCAACACACACTTTTGCATAACGCATAAAGCATGTGCATAAGGAATTCATTGGCCCATTTTCTTATGCATAAGTCAATGGACCAATCGAATTCTTTATGTATATGGTTTATGCGTTATGCAAAAGTCTGTGCTCCCTACTTAACTCTTAACGCAAGTTTCGTTATCGTTATAACGCCACTGCGCAGCTCTTTTATTATGGTAAAAAGCTGCGCAGTGGCGTTATAGCGATAACGAAACTTGCGTTAAGAATTAAAGAATAGGGGCCCGGGAATAAGATGCTACTAGCGTTATTTGTGTCATTTTCTATTATAATTATTATATTATATCTTCGACTGCGTTCCGTTTCACGCATATGCGCGCATTCCCCTATATAGTATACGTGACGCTCATTATATAAAATGCGCGCATATGCCTGAAACGGAACGCAACCAAGGATATATAATGACACAATAGCGGCCAATAGCGGCTCCCCAAACGCACCTGTAGGGGCGTATTCACACTCGAGTGCTCCCCGGGTGTCATGTTATCCTTGTTCAACTTTCGGTAAACAATAAGATAAACACAAGAGTGATAACTGAAATATCACTTGAGTGTATGATCGGTCTTATTCTTGTTTAACATTAAATGAATAATAAGGATAAGATGATATTCGGGGAAACCTGAGTGATATTTCCGAATGCAGCCCTGGATGGCACTCGGATAAGAATCTGAACATAGCTTATTTTAGAGCGAGTTTTTTAATTCATCGATAACGCAATCGCATTGCGTGCAAAGGTAATTTTGTTCCGTAAAAGCTGCATTTGCGATTGATCAATCAATGAATTAAAAAAACTTGCCCATCATATATATCTATAATTTTAAAATAAATGTTGGTGCGCTGGACTTTTTTATGCGTCATCTCGTGTCTCGGATTTCTTTAATTCTTTCTGATTTTGCGCTTCATTATTATTTGCTATTACCATCTATAATAAATGTAATGTGAATTTTAGTATTTATAGTGATAATAACGAAACGTAATCTTTGCATGTAACGTACATTATTTATTGTAGTGAGTTTTAGTGATTAGATAGGTAATAACTTAATGTATAGAATAAGTATGAGTAAATAAAAAGTAAGTAAATATAAATATTATTATAATAGATTTTTATAATATGAAAAATTCATTTTGTATTATATTATTTTATATATTTTATATATTTTTTAATTTTATGTTGTATTAACATTGTAAACTAGAAATTTATTTTATAAAAAAAACTTATTACCGCTAGATTGAGACCGTTTTTTTTATACTTTGCATTGCAAAAAAAACGAGCAAATTAATTATTGATTTTTTAATGTTTAGATAATTCTTTAAAAAAGTTTAACAAGGAAATTATTCTTTTTTTTTAACTTATAAGACCAAATTTTTTACACATACAGCCTATATCTAAGCGGATTATTGGATTAATATTACAGTACAGTCATTCTAACAATAAAAAGCGCAAGTAGCAGCATATCCTATAAATAATAATATACATACAATATATGGTAATATAAAATTTATTTTTTTTATTTTCAAAGCTTTGGAGATATTTAATTTCTGCAATATTAATATTTTTGAACATTGAAACCAAATATTTTTGGAACAATTATTATTTACCACAAGATGTTCATTTTTAGCCTAAAATATCTATCCCAGAAAGGTATTATCCTTAAGACGTCTTATGGACATTGATTTAGGATCAATTTCAGTTATTTTTCTTTTTCAGATGTCCTCAAGACGTCTTTCCGACTACCTGCAACAGACTTATTTTAGGTAAAGTCCAAAAGACGTCTTAAGAACGTCTTTCAGACGTGCATTGTTCTTTGGGTCTGTTAACAAATGATCAATAAAATCGTTTCATGTATGAAAATCTTAAAAATTGTTTTTTATTAAAATTAAGATTTAATTTATGTTTTATTTAAATTTGATGTTATTATTTTGAATGTAATTGTTTTAAATTTATTTTATTCGATTTAAATTAATTAAAATTTAATTTTTTTAAATTATCTCTTTTTAGAAACTATGTTCTGTACATCCTGATGTGTAATCACTATTATGCGTCAGTCAATATATAATTTGCAAGTTGAAAAGGATAATTAAAATATGACATATATAGATAGCACGTGAGTGCAGTTTTTATATATTTTGTATACGTTTTTACTGCTGCTTTAATTTAAAAAAATCATTTATTGTCTTATACATATATATATGAGTAGTTCTCTCATTGAGATATATTGCTACCATTTGGGTAAGATCAACCATCTGTTGAAAGACCCTTCCATTCAATTTGTATTATATCAGAAACTACGCAATTTATTAGCAAATCAATAAATCGGTTATAATTTTACTATGGAATTCCAATTTTACTGAAACTCCTCGATTTAATTGCTCAAGATTTTGCAATTTATCATCGTAATTTCATAAATGTTCGTAAACGAATAACGAGATACATGTAGATATATTAATAACATATAACATCCTTAAAATTTAGGTAGCGTCCTCTGTATATAAATATTATTTTGTTTTTAAAATTGGATCTAAAATATGAAACGTACCGTGATAAAAATGTCATGTCCCATTCCTTTCAATCATTAAAAGTACCATGGCTATTCGATCGATCGTAAATTTCATACATTGCAATTTAAAGTTAAGTTGTGTCGCTGCATAATTTATATATCCCATATGATCCTATAACGTATAATATTATTCCGAGTTCAGCAGGAAACGTTAAACTTTCAAAATTAATAATAACATAAATAACACAAAAACCTTGTCATAATCTAAAGTGCTCTTTTTTTATTTATCCATTATGTTATATTTACTATTTTATTCTTTAGTAAAATTTAATATCAATATTTTATATACTTATATGTAAGTATAATACTACTAATATATATACACACACATATAATGTATATATAATATGCAAAGTGTTCTCGTTACGGATGAAACACATCGATCAACAAGCACATACTAAAGCAGAAATTAAAGCAGGACGATAGACATTTGCCTTGTCTATCTGTCCTGCTTTAATTTCTGCTTTAGTGCTTGTTGATCGATAATTCAAAACAATGCTTTAGTATGTGGTGAGTAAGCGTGCCAGTATTCATCTAACACGTTTCGATTTATATCGTATGAAGAGAGAAACATATGTAAGATCAGATTACTTAAACCTATATTTGCTTTTAACAGGGATAGAAAGAGAAAGAAGAAAAAAAAGACAACTCAAGAATTAATAATTCAATATATCTTACTTGCGTTTATTATGGAGATATATGAAGGCGCAAATATACATATATTGATTAAATCTATATTTAAAAAAAGGCATTTCGACATATTCAGGTTTTTTAAATATTCCAAATTATTAAGACAAAGAAATGTTTAGGTTTGGCGTAATTCGTGATGATTCGAGATCCCCGTTATATATTTAAAAAGTATGGTTTAACATCTGTCACAATTAATTTGCAAATTTTTTTTTAAGCGAACCGAATTCAACGTCGTGCGTCAGACGGGTCATCGGCGAATCATCCCTGGGACCATCCTATACTATCGCATTTTTCCGATGACGTTAGGCATGCTCCACTTAACGTTCTCAACACTCGCGAGCATCATCTCATTCTTGTTTAATATTTGAAAATGATAAGGATGAAATGATGCTCGGACGAGCGTTAAGTAAACGCACTCGCTGCCGGTAGTGCTGGTGCGGCGTATCGTACTCTTCGCGCAAGCTCCGTTTTTCAGGAGGTCTATTGATCCACGCCGACGTTTCGGCCGACGATCGGACGGTAGAGTGCCACGAACGTCGGGCTGTACGCCGCCCGTAAATAATCGTACGCGGTGTGCCGTGACGAAAATTTAATTTGGATTTAATTGAATAAGAAAACGCGGATACAAAGGCATCCTTTATAGCATTCAGGAGTAGCACGAGGTAGCAGTGTGCCATCAAGATGGTCCACGGAGTGTTAGAGGGTGGAGTTCTTAGGCGACCTATGGCGACCAGTGAGTGCCGATGATGTGTCACGCAACGTTCCCACCTGACGTCCCTTCCGAAACCACCCGCAATTGCTTCCTGCTTTTACTATAGATGCACAATCACTACGAGATCGGCCGATTCATCATGCACCGTTCGTATATAAATAACGAATGTCTCCTCAATATTGCTCAGAATCGAGTGCACTGACAGCTGTTAGCTCCCTCGTCTCTCGGTCATGACCGTTCCAGATCGTTATTAATTCCTTGAAGAATTATAGCAGCGATTGTGTTTTCCGCAAATACATATATTAAATCGAATTTCACCCTTTGCGCTTATTTTGATCATAAACATTTGAGTAGAATATCGAAATAATTTTTGCTTGACGCGCAGTTCCGTCGTGCCGGAAAGAGCTGAAAAGGAGTCACGCATCTCAATCGACTCATTTTTTATTACGGAATTTGATATCCACGAGATACCGATATAATAATTAACGTATAAAGAACGTGCTGTCACGCGACATGTTTCGGAAGGCAACAATCGATTGTTTTACTTTATGTTTATTCACACGTTTACATTTTTCGTATCATTGAGGAGATACCGAAGTAGAGAAATCTTAATTCCTTCATATTTTTATAACACATCGTATGGTCTCTTAGAATATGTAGATAATAATTATTCTCTCTGCCATTGTCTCTATATTACAGTACACGATACTGTGCTGTTAGCAACAAATAAATGCGCAATTACAACAAAATCGAAATCGAAAAGCACACATGCATATCGATCAGTGGATCTCGTCGGATCGGGTTTTTCGCGCATGCGTGACGAATTTAGTCTTATTGTCAATACAAGCACTTGATGCTACAAATGCTTCGATGCATTTTTGAAAAAAACTGGTTGATTAGTAAAATTCTTTCTTCCAATTGGTTAATTAAAATTTTTGAAGCATTTGTAGCGTCAAGTGGACCGCATCCACAGTACTCTATTCAAAACAAACGACACAATTCAAAAAACAAAGTTTTCCAAAAAGTAAGTTCAAATATTTTGATTGATTAAAATTTTGTAACATATTAATTTTTAAAAGTAATTTTGTATAATAATTGATTATATATAAAATAAAAGGAACAAAAGAGTAGGATATTCTTTTAAAGTATGTTTTTTCTTATTTTCTTTATAATTTCGCTTTTTTTTTGCAAGCAACTAAAAAAATGACAATTTTTGAATTGTGTCGGAGCAAAAAAATGAGCGATATAATTAAATTCATTTTTTAGTCCAACCAGTCGATTACTACGTATATATAATTTCAGTCTCGACGGCGATGGGGGTGACACTATGCATTGGTGCCGCTACCTTATTATTTGCTGTCGCTATGGCCTGCTGGTTCTGCCGACGACGTCGCGAGCACACCAAGTTAAACTCAGACAAGCCCCTGGCGTTCAGACCTCCACATCGGAAGCCGACGGCGGTTAAAAGCCCTGGCAGTACAAGTCATTATTTAAAGAAGAGCCCATCGCCAACAGGACCTGCTAAAAGCCCGCCTGGTTCCGGTGGACAAACTCCCAGCCCGACAGGGTCACAATCCTCAAATCCAGCGTCTCAACCCAGAACACCACAAAGCGCAGGTAATGTAACGTAATCCATAAATATGTATATCTATAATATATATAATAAAAAATATATTTTTTCGACACAACAAAACCGTTGGAACTGACCCTTACCGATTTTAATGAGCTTTGGATACTTATATATATGTTGTATAAACGAAAAAATATTAGATCCATATCTCTTTAATTAGTTTTAAGTACAAATTTTTTTTGTAAGCTATATTTTAAAACATACTAGGTTTGTATTCTTTATTTTATAATTAAATATGTCAACAGTTTTATTTTAATATTTTAATTTTTAATTTAATTTTAATTTGACTCTTACTTCGCCCTTTTATTATTATTGATCATTGTTAAAGAGTCCTTGTTATTTTTCTATTTAATCTATATCATTTTTTGTGCTTATCTCGAGATTTAGGAGATGGAACACCCCGTCGAAGAAAATCGGTTTTTTCTTTCAAAACGAATATCGTCAAAACTCTATAAAAGATTATAGAAAAAAATTTTGCAGAATGAAAATTGAATGGCTTTAAGAGTACTTTAGAAATATAATAAAAAATTGTTTTTTTTATAAATAAATCATTTTTATTATATAAATGAATAATTAAAAATATTTTTTAAATTATGTATTTATAATTAAAAAAATCTTAAAATAAGCACAAAATATATGTAAGTCTAATATTTTTTCATATTCTACATATCCAAAGTTCATTAAAATCAGTAAGGGTCAGATTCGACAGTTTCCTTATAATAAAAGCAACTATTTTTAATATTTACATTTAATGCTTTGTAGGAACACCGGTACAAACGCCTGTCGAGGTCGCTATGAGTATAGAGAACGAGCGCGACAAGGCTGAGATAGAGAATAATGAGAAGGTCGAGCATGAAAAGTGCCAAACAGCTGAGAACGACAAGGATAATCTGGGCCAGCTTATCTTTAAACTGAGATATCGAAACGAACAGAATGCGCTCGCGGTAACCGTGGTGCAATGCAAAGGATTGCCAGCCAGAGGTCAGCAGAATGCTACCAGTGATCCTTACGTGAAACTGCAATTGTTACCTGATAAACAGCATCATGTGAAAACTAGAGTCCTCAGAAATACCAGAGATCCAGTGTACGATGAAGATTTCACATTCTTTGGCATATCGCAGAGTCAGCTTCAGGTAAACGATTGAAATCCGATTGAAATCATTTTTATTAAAATTGAATTCTCAATAAAAATCTTTATTGTAATTAATCTTTCTTTAAGAGAAGAATGATCTATTTTAAAATTAATTCTTAATTCCAGAAAATTAGCTTACACTTTATCGTGCTGAGTTTTGATCGATATTCACGTGATGATATCATTGGAGAATTGACTTGTGCTTTATCATCAGTGCCTGGTTTAGAGGATGCGGATAATCAGGAAATATCTCTCTGTCGAAAAATATATCCCAGGAGTTTAAAAGTAAATATTGATAATGAAAACTTAAAAAAAATATCTTATAAATAAATACAGTATACCCTGAGCACACAAATAATATTTTGTTATATTCTCTTATTTCTTTTTAGATACAGTCGCAAGGGAGAGGAGAATTGCTGGTCTCTCTTTGTTGGCAACCTGTTACCAGTCGGCTGACGGTGGTAGTATTAAAAGCACGAAATCTACCCAAGATGGATGTCACTGGGCTCGCTGACCCGTATGTGAAAATCTATCTTCTCTACAACCAACAACGTATTGCAAAGAAGAAAACACACGTAAAGAAACGTACGCTCAGTCCGGTATTTAACGAGTCCTTCGTCTTCGATATACCAAACGGAGCAGATGGGCTCAACAATGTCAGCCTTGAATTCATGTTACTGGACTGGGATAGAGTAACGAAAAACGAGGTAAACTTTATACTTTGATCATCCAAAACTTTTTCGAGCGGATCAATGTTTTACGCCAATTAACTTTCTCTATTGAGTCATATTTGCAGAATATCCCAAAATTAATAAAAATGTTTTTCGTAGTAGATTACACACACACGTTGTGTAATAATCTTTTATATATCATACATACGTCTCATCTCTTTAAATTCATCGAATTGCGAATATAATAAATCGAAAAATTTCGAATAATGAATTAACAATCACGGTAAACGAATCATAACAAAATATAATAATTTAGGTAATCGGCCGGCTAGAGTTTGGAGGACCAAAATGTCAAGGCTCCGCGGTAAACCATTGGAAAGAGGTGTGCAGCTCACCGCGACGACAGATAGCCGATTGGCATAAACTGCGGGAGTAATCGATCTCTGGCTCTACGTATTAGCCCGAGTTCCTGTCTCCAATTTCTTTGAATTCCCATATCCTCCTCTACTCTGTGAAACCGATTCGATCTTTGAAGTCCTACGAGGTAGAGCATTTTATAAACCTAATAATCAATGTATATTAGGCTTGAAACGAACGGTTTCACCCATGATTACTGTCATCACAAAAAACGTCTTGAATTTATAAACGCGTTCGCACATCTTATTTACGATTCATTAGAAACTCGCATGATATCTTTTTAATCTCAAAATAAATGAAATTTTAATCAGATTGTTCTGTTCAAGCTTCATCAGTTTATACTCTCATATAATTCTCTATAATTTATTTATTTATATATTTTTTAAATAGATAATTGTTAATGGATGATTATACAGATTGTCATAAAATATAATGACACGCGATTACAGAGTGATAACTTGCAGGATATTTTACGAAATATAAACATAGACATTAAGATTCCCGACCAGTAGTAACGAGATCATGAAAAAGGACTATCGGTGCAAAGCGATCGACCTATCAATTACTAAATACTGCGTCATGTAGATGAAAATGAAGCAAATTTTGGTTGTCCCCTAGAGCGAATTGGATGGAATGCATTAGTTAGGAACGCTAATGCGTTGAAAGCGGTTTTACGCAAAGTGATATGAAAAAAGCATATGTATAAAATATCATAATCGGTTCACTAACCAGTCCTATAAATAATTTTTTTCCAAGCTATTTTGCTGCATCACATTCGATTGTTGCTTGGCAATTGCACGACTCTATTGTCTCTCTACTGAATGCATGTACATATATATACTCCGATACATTTTATCACCTATGTACCTAAATAAAAAACCGAATTTGCTAATTTATTTAGTTCAAAGAGAGAAAAAAAGAGAAAAATGAAAAGTAAAACACAAGAGAAAAAAGTTTGCTACATTTTATTTAGATATGGTTCGTCATATTTACTCGCTTGCAGAGCGCATGTATATCTCTCTCGTGTGTTAAAGATATACACGTTTAAAATGACGAAACTATAAAAATTATCGACTCTTTGAAGAAAATAATAACAGAAATTCGCTTTTATTTGCAAAACTTGAAAAAAAAAATAAATTTCTCTGAATTTTGTATTAACTTATGTAAAATCAGTGAAAGGAATTATACATTTTTTTTTTATTAAAATCTTGTTTTATATTTCTCTTCAAGTCTAATCTTTTATTCGCATCTAATAGCAATTACGTCGCTAGTTTTGCGATAAAATGTTAGAATTATGATAAACTGATAAATTTGGTTTGTTAACATGAATTACAAGCGAATATATAATGTATACGTCATTATTTCGGAGAGATTCAACGAAGATTTAATGCTCATGTCTTCTGAATCTGTCTAACGGTAAACACAGCTATCTCATCATAGCAATCATAGATTTCTTTTACATCTTGTTTCATCGTATGTACCTAATATACTATCGCAGTAAGACCTAGTAAGTAATTTCAATTTTGTGAATTGTACCGTTCATCTTTCGACATTTTAGTCTCAATGAAGCAAGTATAGATAAATGAATGATTGTACGTATTATCGCAATAAGATTTAGAAAATCATGGAATCGAATAAATCCGGAATTGCGATATAGATATATACGTATCGGCGAGCCAAAAGCAACTTCAAATTGTTTTATTCACGATCGCCTTTTTATTCTCGCGACTAAACGCTGATAAATAAAAAATTATATTGTTGCTTGTAAGAGTAGCTGGAACTACGAATAATCTCGGCCCGCATCACGATTGTACATAGGTATATATAACTAATGAAAACGCGAACTGGCGAATTTATTTGACCCTTACGCGTAATTGAAGGGAAAATTTAGTATATGTATTAATGAAAGTAATGAGATTGATTTTTTTAATACAGTATCACAATATCAGATATCCAAACTATTACAGTTCTAATTCAAATTTTTCTTTTATATTGCAAATGCGGAATTGTGTGATTCGAGATATTTTTTATTCTTAGTGCTTTTCTTTAATTTCTGATCGTTTTTATTTCATACGTACACAAAATGAAAAATTTATTTTAATCATTTGTGCACAACGATATTTCCATTTCATACGTTAATTGATCTCAAGTTGTTAAGAATATGAATGTTTGGATGTAATTTTATCGTAGGATTGGTAAAATTGAAAAGTTCGAAACTTAATTCCACGCTTTTCATATTCGATATTGACATGCGATGCTTTAAAGGATCAATCTTATCACTTTTATGACAATCTCTTGTGTATATCGAAAGTAGAATGGTTGGAGAATACACACTTTCTGCTTCTCTCAATTTGATAGAGTTTAATTGGACATTATAACATTAAAAATGATTTTTCATTCTACCATTTCCCATTTTAATTATTATGCTAATTCTTTTGCTAGTGCTAAGACGGGATAAAACCAATTAACGTCCAACTTGTAGACATAAAGAGATAAGCTCAGTATTGTATGTACATGCGCACATATACTCATATTGAGACTATTTCTTTGTATAATCCAAATAGATGCTCGTAAATTACAAGACAGCATGATATTCGTTTGCAAACATGAAAGTCAATAATCAGCACCGCATAATTAACGCGAATGCTTATTTTCTTACTATAATTTATTATTTTGCAGTGTGAAATTTGCCCAATCTAAAGAACACTTAATTTGATTGAATGTAAATATAGGCATAACACACATTCTATATAATAATTTATATATATATATGTAATTGTTTTATTATTATCACGTTATAATTATTGTATAGTTCAATTCTTTTGGCTTCTTTTTATAAATATATGACAACTAAAAGTTTAATATATATATATATAATATATATATACAGAGGCAATCTCCATTTTACAATTTATTTACTTATTTCATAATCTTTATGTTCATGCATATAAAAACTTGGAATAAGATGAAATAAAACATTTTCTTTTGAACATTTCTAAACACAGATATCGAATAACGATTAATTTATATAATAATGTTCGTATTAAAGTTAATATTTTTAAATATAAGAATAATTAATTTTATCTGAGGATTCTGTTATTCGTTTAAAATAAAATAATAAAATTTTTTTATATTTTGAAAAATGACATATTTCTTTATTTTTAAGATTTTGTCGTGTAAATATGTATGTGTTTTAGATATTCTAAATTGTAGATTATAAAACAATATGAAAGCAGAGAGAAAAAAGAGAGAGAGAGAGAGAGAGAGAGAGAGAGAGAGAGAGAGAGAGAGAGAGAGAGAAAGAAAGTAAGTGTGTGTGGGTGTGTGTATTGCATACATGTGTGCATGTGTGTATATGTACATGTATACACAAAATTTTTCTATATATTTAGACAGTATATTTTTATCGTCCTCGTTCGGGCAAATTTCATACTGACCGTATATTCCATTATACTTTTTTAATAATTAAGAACGACGAGACTGCAACGCGAAGAGAAAAAATACGAATATCAAGCAGCAAATATCTCCAAATATTGCAATCGAAAGTGTATATGATAACGAAAAAGTCGTAATATATCATATAATGAGATTCAAGAAATACACTGAATAAGTTTTACATTTTAACACAGTGAACGTGACACAACGTTCGTCCACGATTCCACTAAAAAACAGTGTTACATGATCGAGAATTTTAGGATATTTAATTTTCATACACACACACACATACACACAAAACAAATTTAAATAATATATATTAACGTAGTGATATAACATAATGTATATCCGTTTGTCTCATTTCCTTGGACCGTGAAGGCGATCGAATATGAATGATTATGTGAAATTATTCTGTGAAGATGAGATAATACTAATACATCGGACTATCTTGATATCGATAGACCAAACTAATATTCTATTAGAATTAAGGATAAAAAGAATCAAGGATTTGTTCGAATCTCATCTCAAAAACGTGTCAGATGAGATATTCAGAATGGAGTAGTGTATTTTGAGACGCGGGCGGTTCAATTCATCTCTAATCAATACTTTGACTGAGATCGATCGAAACTGTATTCAGCTGAGAAGTGAAATAATTTAAATTTAATTTGAGATACCACAAAATATCCTTTTATGAAAATAATCAAATTTTTCTAATTATTAATATAAAAATTTTTTTCTGTGTTAATATTAGCTGGATTTATTTCTAATGTATGATTATGGTACATTTCATGATTAAACATTTAATCATTTTTTTAATATTTTCAATAATTTTTGAAGCACATAACTACTTTGATTACAGTTACTTTAATCATTATTTTGTATCTCAAATCAGATTTTATTTAAATAATTATTCCGCTTCTCAACTGAGATTTTAAGGCTGTGTGGTCAATAAAACATTAAAATAAACACTAAAATAAACATTTCAATTAATGATTATTCCAAATCGCCCTGCTTAAAAAAAATCAACTGACTTCAAAATTATAACATCGGAATAATAATAAAGAAAATTTCAATATTAGATTCATTTAAGTCTCTCAGACTTTCTAACTCTATAATGTATTTATATATTATATATATAAAATTAAATATATAAAATTAATTTTATATATTGTATGTATAATTTTTTCCTAAAAAAATGTATATATATGTATATACATATACATGTATATATGTATATACATATAGACAATATGAAGAACAATCATTATAAAATAGAAAAATATAATTTTATTCATATATTAGTAATTTTCCGCTTATTAGAAAGTTCATATGGCTCACATACAAAAATGCTTTGTCAGGAATGAAATATATCAGACATACAATCGATGTTTCGCAGATTTTAAGTAAATGTAAGTTAGTAAAGCGTAAATGCATACATCTGCCTTCACCGATCTTCGCATTCGCATTGATCTGTCAATACGATTTTTTTATACATCGTTTACATATAATTCGATTCTTTGAATAAATATATAAGTTATATATGTTACACATATACTGATATATACAGAAAAATATATAACGTGTTATGCCATTATAAGTATAAATATTTGTACATTATCACCACTTAACAACACAGCGCATATGAAGATAATTGCATTCATTATATCCTTATTTGTTTGTTCCGTTAACAAATACATTAATTACATGTATTGTTGTGCAAACAAGAAGTAGAATAATATTAAAATCGCTCGCAATTTTAATGGTTCCTATTAGATTTAAATTTTGCAATCTTTAATCTT